GCAGTTTGACCAACTTAGCTTTTCAAAAATTGTACTTTGGAATGTCACATTGTTAATTTTACTTATGTTACTAGTTTCCACTGTTTAAAGTATACTTAGCCATAGGTAACTTTTGTAACACTGCCCATGTCTTTGTGTCCTTTTAGCCATAGGTAACTTTAGAACACTGCCCATGTCATTGTGTCCTTTTGTAATAATTGAATCAACTGATTTTTCTTGTGAAACTTCCTTGCCTTTACAATAAAAATCAGAAGCTAACTCTGAATCAGGGCTGAACCCATTTATCTCCTTCTAACAGAGGAGTTGCTGAGGTACAGTCCCTTCGGCCTTCTCATGGCATTCATAGTGCATTGAGTAATCCTTTTCTCATCTCTGTTTTCAGTGAGAAGTGTAACAATTAATTGGGTATTCATACACAAAAAAAGAGGAATTTAAATATTTACTTCACATCATACACAACATTAACTCAAAATGAATGTAGTCTTAAACTTAGGAGCAAAAAGCATCAGAAAGTTACAGAAGTGATAATAGATTTATATCAAGAATATATAAAGAACTCTTACAACACAATAACAGAAAGACAAATATAATTTTTAAAATAGGTAGAAGCTTTTAATAGAGATTTTAATTGAGAAGTTGTGATCCAATATGAATATGAACAATATAAAAAGAGACAGAAAAACATGCCATGAATTTAAAGTGCCTCCACTGAGAAATTAAAAAACTAAAAGCAAACCCTAAGAACAATTTTCTAAGTCATCCCTTTGATTTGTCTCACAGGTTTTTACTCATGCTGGTAAATCACCATATATTTGTCAATGAGAGATTTCCGTTTCTTTTGTGAAAGATATAAAAAGATGTGTGAGTAGAGAGTAAAACCATAATGTCTCTTCACGCAGTGTGCATTCTCCAGCAGATCACTTTTAGAAATACAGTGCATGATAGTTGAAAATACATTTATGGAATTCTTGTGTGGCTTTAGATACTCTGCCCTACAGAAAGTAAGGGTAATTTTAATTATTATGAGAAAGGAAAAGTTTATAATAAATATTCCTCTTATTTCATAATTGCAATACAATCTGTGGCTCACATATTTGATACCAGCATGTAGAATTTCATAATGGACCGTGAACTTTGAAAGAAAGCATGTTTGGTTTTAAATAATTGTTTTTCTAAAAGCATGTTTGGTTTTAAATAATTGTTTTTCTAATTAGGGCATTTTTAAAAATTGAGGATATTCCATAGAGACTAATTACACGTTGTGTCTTATATCACGTGTATTTTAATACGATTTTTATTTTGTTATGCCATCAACACTAATAGCTGATTCACTTAGGGACCCATTTCCCAGGAGTTTCAATTGCAGTATAAGTCTCTGACTGTGTGCTATACACATCTAACATCCTCAGTACCAAGAAGAAAATGTATGTTCCCCAGGTTTGTTAGCTAGAACTAGACTCTGATTACTTGAAAATGGATGAATATATTTTCTGACAATGAAAGTATTTTTTAAAAATGGCTAACTCATCTGTCTTCTAATTATAAAATGCTTAGTAGAATCCCTATTATGTTCATTTGTTCTTTATAATGCTTTTGCCTTACAGTTTTCAGGGTCAGTTGGCTGAAAATTAGAACTATTTTCTCTCTATCATCAAACGCTGATGAGTACGAAAGAATGCAAAGTAAACAAAGTGGTAGATTTCCTCTCTCTCTGTTTTCTCTCTTTTTTCATACCAATTCCCTTCATAGAATGTAGAATTGAAGGCTGCAGTGGAACTTCCTAATTGTCACCGTAATTCTGAGAGTTTAATCACATGCTTGCAAGCTGGTGATGACGTTGAGTATCAGGGTATGACAACTATCTGTGCTCAGGAATGAAGATAAATTCTTCTGGATTTGCCGTGAATTTATAAGAGACCAGTTTCCTGTTATAAGTATAGAACATGAGGGAGACAATTTTCCACATCACGTTTCATCTTTTATCTCTGGAGCAGGCAAATAACTCACTTTTGGGGACTGGGATTTCAGTGGTTTAGGTAAATGAGAAAACAATGATTCAGTATCATGATTTGTTTTCAGGCTTTAAAATTACTTCAAGATATGGAGAAAGTCCAAGGATGTTTTTCTAGTCTAGACTATTTACTCAATTTTTATCTCAATGGGTTAATGAAGTTATGTACAAGTGCATGCTCCTCCTGTGTTCTAAGAAGGGAAGTGAGTAAAATTCATCAATTCGCATACTCCTTCTCTTTAAATGAAAGGTTTGGATTTTATTTCCCTCTTACATGAAATACACGATTTAACCACTTTCTCTAACCTACTCTTTGAGATAACTTGAGAAAGTTTCACTGAGCTATTTTTTAAAGTGCATAAAATATTTTCTTTCAGGGTTAAAACTTAATTAATTGATACCTCTATCACTTCATATCTTAATACTTTAATACCTCTATCTCTATGTATATAAATGCTTTTATACATAAATGCTTATTTACATCTACATATAAAAATCAATGTGCTATTAGAATGCTTTTTTCAAGCTGGATTACTCCAAAACATAATTTCAAATAGAGTGATAATTTTCCACCCTAGATATGATGCACCATAGTTTAGCACTTCCTGTTTTTGACTGGTCCATTTTTTCTTGTTGTTGATATCATAAAAAATGCAGCAGTGTAGTTTGCTTTTTAATCTTTTTAAAAATATAACTAAACATTTCTTATAAAAGATTGCAAAAAAATGTCTCATAAGTGAAAGGATGATTAAGCTTTTTATATGTGTGAATCACAGCTTCAAATACATGTTGCCTAATTACTTTCTAGAAAAATGTGTGACAATTCTTCTCTTTAAGCCTTTAACATTGATCATTACCATTAAAATTATTAAATTAATTTGTTAATTATATAAGTAAAAATTGTTAGGGATTTCAAGGTACATTTTAATTCATTTTTTTTTTTCATTTTGAATACTTCTAAATTTAAAGGCTTTATCTGCACTACTAATCCTGAAAAAATTTATCACACTGCACAACAATGGAATTGCAGAGCACCTCAATTGCTGCAAAGCAATGTTACTGATACACTGAGCTAAAAATAATAGTGCATATTATGTGAAATGGCAATAGCTGCCACCTTACTTGCATACAACTTATTAAACTTTACAGGAAACAGGAGTTAATTTCTACATGGCTTCAAAATGTACCATTGAATCTATTTCAGAATCCATGGAACCACTTAACTTAATGAATCATCTGTTGTGGCAAATAAAAATTGGGAATCAATTAAGGTTACTGTTATTGCTTAAATTAATTTTGATTAGTAGCTTCTACTGAAATATTTAACATTTTAAATTATTTGACAATTACATTTTTATTTTACCGGATAAATATTCTATGTTTGATATCAATGTTATATTTTTCTGAAGTTAATATAAACCAGTTATATACTCCCTTTTTCTCATCCTAGAAGAAACACAAAACTTACTTTTTTCCCCCAAACCTGAGTTATACCGGCAATGGGTGAGGAGAACTGCAGCACTGTGACGGAGTTCATTCTCCTTGGATTATCTGATGACCCTGAGCTGACAGTCTTCCTCTTCCTGCTGTTCCTTCTCACCTACGGAGTCACGGTTTTGGCCAACCTGGGCATGGTTGCACTGATTCGAGTCAGCTCTCGCCTCCACACTCCCATGTACTTTTTCCTCAGCCACTTGTCCTTTGTGGATTTCTGCTACTCCTCAACCATTGTGCCAAAGATGCTGGCTAATATCATAAACAAGGACAAAGCCATCTCCTTCCTGGGGTGCATGGTGCAATTCTACTTGTTTTGCACAAGTGTGGTCTCTGAGTCCCTCCTACTGGCAGTGATGGCCTATGACCGCTTTGTGGCCATATGTAACCCACTGCTCTACATGGTCACCATGTCCAAGAAGCTCTGTGTGGAGCTAGTTTCTGGCTGCTACCTCTGCGGAACAGTGTGTTCTCTCATTCACTTGTGCTTGGCTCTTGAGATACCATCCTATAAATCGAATGTCGTTAACCACTTCTTTTGTGATCTAACACCTATCTTTTCTCTTGCCTGCTCTGACGTGTTTATTAATGAACTCGTGGCATTTATTGTGCCCACTTTCAATGAGATCATCACCATCACGATCATCCTCAGCTCCTACTTGTTTATTCTCATCACCATCCTGAGGATGCGCTCGGCAGAGGGAAGGCAGAAAGCTTTTTCCACCTGTGCCTCCCACCTCACAGCCATCGTTGTCTTCCAATCCTTTTCACTTATTGCCGACTCAGTTCAGGCGATGGTGGGGATGCTGACAAAGTGGCCACAGTGTTCTACACTGTAGTGATTCCCATGCTGAACCCCCTGATCTATA